CCGTGCAGCCATCTGCAATAAATAACCAGGATAGTTAGTGGTGACTGGGCAGTTTTATTCTGCTTGTACAGTTGTTTTATTTATTATTACGTGAACATGATCAACATGTGTTTGTTGTTGTTCAGGCAGGCCACAGGCTGCAGCGAGCATTTAACAAATCCTAGTTTGAGTCAGTAAAAAACGATTCAAGGACTTTTTTCGAACCATTTGAATATTTGTTTCAATATTTCAGCCCTATTAGCTCTGTTAGCAATTAGTTGACCGCATTTAACCGTTAAAATCCCAGTTAACTGGTTCAAAAATGTAAAACATGCATCATGAGAGCTACATACCTTTATCTTTCTTCTCTTTTTTCTTTTTTCCTGAATGGGGCACCTGGTGGTTTTAGCCTTTTTATGTTCATCTCTTCTGTTTGGCTCCTGACTCAGTACGTTTGCTTTAGTCAGGACTAAACTATTTGACCTTGACGGGGGGTGACCACAAAATCGTTTTGTTTTTCCTTTTTTTGTTTGGTCATTTCACACAATTCAGAAACACCTGAAAGAATGATAGGACTGTGTTTATGATATTATGAATGAAATGTGCGTTAAATGGAAGAACATCAAGATGAGATTGACTTTAGCCATGTTTATACAGTTGATTCAGCCCCTACCCGCTCATTTCATTTGGGAAAGACCCAGAGGTGAATTCCCCCGCCGCACCCCTCCCGTGCCTCTTCTTCATACACACACGGTGCACGTGAACCCTCTCAGTCAGCAGGAGCGCCTGCAGCTGCAGGGGGCGCCAACTTGCTGTTTCCAATCCAGACACTGTCATATGACAGATAATAGAAAACCTCGGTGCGGCGCAGATTTCTTTCTTTTTTATTGTTTTACTCAGCGCTTGTGCGCCCCTTTTGTGTCATGAAAAAATGGAGAGGGTGTTCGTTGCAGAACCACAAAGGCGGAGCTGCACCAGAGTCAGCCCCGCCCACTCACACAAACAGCCTAGCCCACTGACTTCTGTTTTTTTTCTTTAGTTTTATCGCAAACTAACCTGACCCACATGAATTACGGCTGTTACTACTTTACAAATGTTAATGCTGTGTTCTATGCTCCAACTAAGCAAGATAACTATAACTTGCTACATGACAAAGCCTGAATATATCCCGACACGAAAAGGTTTCTTGTAACAAATATGTCCATAGCTGCTTCAACAAAGCAAGCCTAGAAAAGCATTTCAGGACAGTTCTTTGGTGGGCTCTGGTAGTCAAGTGGCAACATCGTTATCCTTAAATTTTGCTTTCCCCTCAGCTGATGTTGGTTCGACTCCCAGTGGGGTCGGCAGCTATCTATTTAGCCAGCTGAAACATTTAATTTGTTTATATTTTAGTTGTAATGTTTATTTTCTGCAAAATATTTATGTCTCTAAAAGTTCTTTGAATTTGGTCGTTCCTAAACAGCATTTTAGTTGAAACTCTGCTCACAAATGGACTCACACTGGCTAAATAAACAAATAAATAGAAAAACAAACCCATTAGTCATTATATTGTAAACGATATACCAATAAATGGTTAAAAACATAGTACTGGCAAGTGTAGCTAGAAAAGAAGAAAAAAGTTTGCGCCCTTACCGGGAGGCGAACCGGCGCAAAATTACACGCCTAACTGACTGCACAACCACTTCACCACCACATCTGAGAACAAGGTAGCGGCGTCACATGTCGTTGTGCCATCCAGTGTGTTTTTGTAGATGGGATGTATGATTTTTCGGCGGTGTCTCAGTAGAAGTCATTTCAGAGATAATTTGTCAGAAAATTCACAGAATATCCAGATTTGAGAACTAAGACCAGACCCGCTTCGGGGGAGGAGACCAAATTGAAGCTGGAATGGGAGCAAAATGTGTGAATGAGGCCAAAAATGGGTTTGGCGTGTTTCTTATGAGGAAATGACAATATAACATGATTAAAAGTTCCAAAAGTTAGATTTTTAATTATATGGAACCTTTACAAAAACGGTTCAGTTAACCTCTCAACTCCGTCCTCAATCTTGCATTTTAGATGATACTAGCTATAACACCCTGTTTGGTTCCAGAATGCTATTAAGTCTGACAACTGGAAGGAATTGGACTGACTCTGATGGAATGGGCGGGGCTGACTCAGGAATGGGCGGGACTGACTGGTGCAGCTCCACCTTCTGGTGCAGTTCCGCCTTTGTGGTTCTGCAGCGAGCACCACTTGAAAAAATGCCGCCCCGGGCAACTGCCCTGTCTGCCCGTCCCTAAAACCGCTACTGACTGACCGCAAAAAAAGCGGAGTGTGCGCTGCGCTGCCCGGCTGCACCAGTGACGAGCGCTGCAGCGGGGGCAGCGCAAGCGCGTCCACACCTCATGCTCAAATACAGACAGAACTTACCAGAGAGAAAATCAACGGACACGCACGACTGTGTGTTAATTGTATATTTTTGGTGACGCGACTTAGAAACTTAGAACATGTTACTGTGGCCGTGTGCAGAACGCAGCTGGAGTTCATGAATAATCAGCGGTCTGCCTGCTGCTGTGCCCAAAATAATCCCCGCTATGCTGAGTCCATATAAATAATATAATATAGGTAGTGTAGCGGAATATAGTTGGTATATTCTTTACACTTTTATTATGTCCAGAGATTAATCTACGGACTGGGCCCTTATAATCAGAAAAGGTTGTTTTTACTTCAGGGAGTTTTATTCAAACACTTTGTACTGACTTAGAGACAAGAAAAGAGAGAGATGGAATCGTTTAAGAATATTAAATTTTTATAATTATTATTCAAACAATCCAGGACTAACTCTCTATGATGGATGCATATGGATTTGAACGCTGAAGTGTTGGTGTGTGTGTGAGTCAGTTCAGAATCCCCAGCTGAGGCAGGCGGATCTGGGTGTCCGATGTTTTGACTACGCACCACGAGGACTTCAGGAGGAAGAGACATGAAACGCCATCTGTGCCGGATCTACGTACCGTTCGGAGACTCCCGTGGGTAGATCAGGAATGCCAGGTCGACTCGTACCCTCCTTCGGTGCTGGAACTGATAGCACAGCTTCTGGGCACGACAAACCCGTCTACGGATAGCTCCCGGTAGTAACGGCAGATGTCCGCGTCAAGTAGCGAGTCAGCTTTTATTCTGAAGGAACCGTCGTCTTGTTGATGAACGACAGAATGTTCCAGCTTGACAGTTCTCAGCTTAAAAGTAGACAATGCAGCTGGCCAGCCTGCACTTCACTTAGCGATGATGGGTTTGAGAGCTGGTCGAAACTACGTTGAATCTCTGATGGAACTCAGATGTAAACTGAAATTAAAATGGCGTTGCTCTGTTTTATTAACTTAGTTGTTTACAATTCTTAGCAAATCGGAGTGGACAGATTAACTAAACACTCCAGACTCTGCCCTGCAACAGAAAGGAAGTTCTGATTGGATGAGAACAATGTGTCATGATGTTTACCTAGTGTGAATCAGGATGTCTGGCATAGTTAGTCCTGTTATTCATTAAACACATAAATCATAACATTGTGATTTCACAGATCAGTCACCTGATTATTATTGACCAACAGTTGTTTTTATTAGCTTTATTAGAAATAAAGTTCTTTGATTAACTAATGAAAAGCGTTCTTCGTCCTTCTTCTTTGCTGGAATGTAAACACCAAAGCAAGCGCACGACCATGGCAATTCATGCACACTGTCACTGTGTCAAAGGGCAGCTGTTAAGGGCAGAAAATAGCATTTTCATAACGCTACAGTAGAAACTGGATCTTTTTTGTGCTCCTTCTGGGTGTGGAAGTTAAGGGCATCAGGGGAGCCTGACAACCTTTAAGGAGAACCAAGTTATCTGAGTCTGGATCATCGGGAAGTAAAGCCCGAGTCCGGATCAGTCTGAAACCACGCGATTGGGGCCGATTTACGATCATGTGATCGGATCGGAACATCCCTAATGGGAACGGCACCTCTAAATACATTACTGTCCTCTGGGGCAGCAGTAGTTCAGGAGGTAGAGCGAGTTGTCCAGGAATCGGAAGGTTGCAGGTTCGATCCCGGCTCCAACCAGAGAATGCTGCTGTTGTGTCCTTGGGCAAGATATTTGACCTGCTTTGCCTGCTAATGGTGGTCAGAGGGACCGGTGGTGCCAGTGTTTGTGTCCGTCATTGTGCCCCAGGGCAGCTGTGGCTACAATGTAGCTCATCATCACCAGGGTGTGAATGTGTGTGTGGATGGGTGGATGACTGATTGTAAAGTGCCTTGGGGGGTTATAGAATCCTAAGAAGGCGCTTAACAAACACAGGCCATTTACTCTGTCTATGAATTCCTATAGATAATACAAACAGTGAAAGCTAAAAGGCAAAAACAGCTTTAAATAAAAGAAGCAGGATGTTTTTCTGTTGACAAGACCGAGCTCTTCTGTAAAAAGGATTCAGTGGGTTTTCATCCTGGAGTGGCCAATCAACCCACACACCGTCACACAACTGCAGGAAGTGCATGTTTGTACGTGTGTGTGTTGGTGGTGTGGTGGTGTGTGTTGGTGGTGTGTGTGTGTGTGTGTGTGTGTCACAATGTTGTGAACAGTAACAGGGCTCTGTCTGCATATTGTGGCAGAAAATGAACCTCATCAGTGAAGCAGTAGGAAATGTGATTTCACAAATGCCCGCTGTGCTCCCGCTCCCGAGTAAAAGGTTGTGAATTTGATCTGAGGGTGCAGACAGATGGTCTTTCTCTGATTCATCAACTGGACTCAATAATCCATTTATGAACTTGTTTTACTCCTGCTGTGTTTCCTAAACATGCCGTGTGAGCCAAGATCCTTGTTCTTTTTCACGTTACGTCACTAAGACCTGCATCAGAGTCAACTTCAGCCACTCTACGCCGGTGTTACAGTTCCCTCTGTTCATCTGTATATTAGAATAAAAGCAACAACTGGGTTTCAGTAAAGCTGAATATTGTCCCAGATGATGATTGGACAGTGGGATTAACATGTTTTCCTGTTTTGGGGTGTAGGAGCTGTGTGAAGACCCTCACCTGTTTGTAGATGGCATCAGTGCACATGACTTACACCAGGGGCAGCTGGGCAACTGCTGGTTTGTCGCAGCGTGTTCAAGTCTGGCATCCAGAGAGTCTTTGTGGCAAAAGGTAAGTGTGTGTGTGTGTGTGTGTGTGTTACTGTTTAGGGTTGGTTATTTCTGCCTTATAAGAATTAGTCTCAATAGACGTCCGTATGCCCAAAACTTTAACTTTCACGTAACATCAATCAAATCTTACATTTGAGAATTTTTTATACCAATGAGCTCAATACTGGCAATGCCACTGAGAGACAAATGAAATATAAAATTCAGTAATTAAATAATCCCTTTTATAAAGGGAAAACTGCTAAAATGCACTTTTAATTATTTCACATGCAGTGTTAGTGTCCATTAGTAACCTTTATGGTAAGACATAAAGACTAGAACACCCTTTATATAACCGCAGCACCATCCTGGTAGCAGCAGACTCCATCAGACACTGGAAGCCCGACGGTTGAACTCTAATGTGGAGACTCGGAGGAGAAGCTGGAAGCATTAAGGCTAAGTGGATGTCCAGTGAATGTGGTTCTCATCCGGCTACGACCTGCAGGGGCACGTTTACACCGGTCTAATTAGCAGCTAATAAGAATGGATGCATGGTTAGGGGAGGAATGAAGTCATTGGGCGATGGATTGATAAGCCCTGTAAATGATAAATGATCCGCACTTGTATAGCGCCTCTCAGAGTAAGGACTCCAAAGTGCTTTACACTATCATCCGCACACACACACATTCACACACTGATGGTGATGAGCTACAATGTAGCCACAGCTGCCCTGGGGCGCGCTGACGGAGGCGAGGTAATGTAACGATCTTCATTACACACAAAATCATTTCAGAGCAACTTCGTCTCTTTTACTGAAAGATGTTTCAACTTTTTAAAATGCACTGCAACAAGTAAGTCTCCTGACTTTGAACTCAACCTAAAACCTGAGAAAAGAAGTGACTGAAACTGGGAGACGTGTGTTCTTTTTTCTCCTAGGCAGATAACCTGCTAAGGAGGTTGGTTGGTAGCTAGGTAGCTAGGTGGGTAGGTTGGCCGGGCCTGTGATTGGTTAACAGCCACACACCTCTTCTGCTGCCTTTGTTCACTCTTCTTTGTTGGCTTCCAAATGTGATGTTGATGTTTTATTTCTACAAATAATACAAGCCCTAAGATGCTGTGGAGTTTCTAACGATTAGCTTCTGCTAGCTAAGATGTTCTTTGCTCTCGTTCCCGTAGACCAGTGGTTCCCAAACTTATTTAGCCGCGCACCCCCTTCTATGTCCCGACCATGTCCACGCACCCCCCAGCCCCACATCAGGGCATGGCTATATATATATATACATATACATACATATATATATATATATATATATATATATATATATATATATATACGTATATATATATATATATATATATATATATATATATATATATATATATATATATATATATATATATATATGTTTATCCCCAATACACATTTTTACCAGTGAAAAGCAATAATATATAAGCATTTAATATTTATACATGTGATAGAATCAGATCACCCCAGAAGTCTGTCCCACATCCAGGGCCGTATCAAGGCATTTGGGGACCAAGGCAAATATAGGCTTGGAGCCCCCACCACCCCACTCCCTGCTCAGATGGCCCTATAAGAGGGCAGCGTGCTGAGAGTACAGGTTGTTGTTGCTTTTATTTAATAAACAATCATTTTAAAGCACTGTTATTATATCTGACTGTTTTTAACAGCAACCCTAGCTCAGACACCACATCACCTTCCACATATATGTCATGAGCTCACTGAGCGTCACATGACCAGATTCATACTGAAGTTGTTTTGGTGAAAGTAACTTAAAGTAATGTAAAAGTAGTGTAATGCCTTACATTTTAAAATCAGTAATATTGTAATGTAATGAATTACTTTAAAATGAGGGTAACAAGTAATAAATAATGCATTACAGTTTTGAAGTAACTTGCCCAACACTGTTTCTCAGTAAGCAGCGCCAGCCTCTTAGTTACCGGCACCAGCTTATCATTAATCAGGTTGGTAGTTTGCTTCAGAATTTATATAGCCTCCTGCTGCTGGGCAGTAGTCTTACTTTTGGCCCCCATACTGCGCCATACAGCCTGCATGAAAAATGCAGAGTGACCCGTTAGAATCAGAAATAATCATTAAAATATGGTTTTTCATTGAACTACACCTTTAAAACAAAGGATAAAGGAGGCAGCCTCCAGTGGTACTACCTGATGTAACACAGAAACCGAGCACTTCAGTTATAACTTACAGTAGAACAAAGGGATAGACAACAGTAAAGACCTACAATTATCCATATTAATGCATTCAGAAACTGCAGGCGAGGTTTAATGGAGACTCCTGAGAAGCAGTTTAAAGGAAATCTACATGCTTCTCCTCTTGTCAGGGTTATCTGGCAAGACGGAGGGAGAGAGAGAGAGACGAGGTTGCAGAAACCTGTTTCCTCGTCTGCTGGGAAATACTGGAACACATTCACAAATACACTCTGTCTCTGTGCATTACCTCACATGGGACCCTAACCCTAACCCAAACCCTTCAGGGCTGGCTGTTTGTCAGACGGGAGGCAAGGCAGGAGAACGTTTTGGTTCAGCGCTCAAACCCAAAGAACAACCCATGCTCACACTTTAATTAGAGAAGTTAGGATTTATTGGGTTTATAAAACAAAACAACAGAAGATCCGTTTTTTCCAGCGTTCTAACTTAAGATGTAACAAAATATTGAAGTACTTTTTTTACATTGTACATTATGTTGGCTTACTTTAAAGTATTTGTGTGGTAATATTGGAGTTGCCTATAATTATGCTTCCTCAGGTAAAAGCACAAAAGCATTCAAAGAAAAGTTTCACGTCTTCGTTCTTTTATTTGTCGGCTAAAAAGGTGATGGAGCAGTCGACCGTCTCGGGGCTGCAGCCGTCTCCAAAAGCAAAAAGGAAGTACATCACCTTCCTTACCTTGGCCAGCTCCGCTATCCTCTCACCAAATTCTGCCGCGTCAGCCTCGTAGCACTGCATCGGTGCGTCAGAGGTGGGGGCTCTCCAGAAGACTCCGGCGGGCTCCAGCAGCTGGCGTGTCATCAGATTGGTGAGGTCTGGCGTCCAGAGCTGCGAGGTGGCCATGATGGTGAGGCGACCTGGCTGTGCCAGTTGAACTGTCCAGTGTGAGAATCGGAGGGATTGCTTGGAGAAGTCCAACCTGTACACGGCCTCGTTGGCCCGCAGCAGACGCTCGCCTTCCTGACGTTTCTGGCTTCTCTGCTGCAGAGACTGAACCCGCAGGCGCATCACCTCAGTCAGCTGGGTGTCCAGCCGGAAGGGCAGCTCGATCTTCTCAGACATGCTTTGACCACTAGCAGCAGCCTAGAGGTTGATACCGACTGCTGGACTGGATTAAATCAGGAGCTGTGTTCAATCTAGGCTCCTTAACTCTTTTTCTTGTCCACACACTCCTAATCTCCGTTTCTGCAGACTTGCCCAGTTAGCATGAGTTCCTGTCTAAGAGGCACTGAGAACAGAGGGCGGCTGCTACAGAGACATACAGATGAGCCGAGAGAAAACAAGATCTAATTACGTTTAGCAGCAGAGCTCAGCCTCAGCCCTCAGAGACCGGGGCTGAGGACTGTTTGTCACACATTTGTTTTCACTTCGTGTGCATGGATACACATCCTCGACTGCAGCACAGGATATTTTGTTAAGATTATGGAAACTTTTACGCTATGCAAATGCTTTAATGAAGACAAGGGGCTCCATTCTCCTTGAGCATTTTCACAGACTACGGGGCAACGCAGGTGTATACCTGGCCATCTGCAGGCGAATCACAGTTTGGTTGCTGCACAGCAACACTGGGCTCAGATGAAAGCAAGGTTAAAGGACGTTCTTCCCACTGGCAGTGCAAAAACAAAGTATAAAATTAAGAAATGAGTGTAAGAAATAGCTACTGCAAGATTTGGGTGTCTGATGGTAAATAGCCTGTATTTGTTATAGCAACTTCCGGCAAACATATCTGGCAGAATGGAGTCCGTGCACATTTTAGAACTGTGTGCAATATCCAATCCAATCCAATTTTATTTATAAAGCGCATTCACAAGGCATTACAACCAAGCAAGGCGCTGCACACTAAAAATGTTGGTTAATTAAACCGGCGTTATACAAGCACGTCGAACACAGATAAAGGATAAAAAGGAAATACACCAAAATTCCCAAAAATAACAGCTAAAAATCATTAAGACACAGGGAGAATAAAAATAGGAAAAAAAAAACATTTTACAAAGAACCTCAATAATACGGAAGTCGATAATTGTGGAGTCCATTTTTAAACAGTGCAGATGTCAGTGAGGTCCATAATTATGTTGTATAAGCTAGGTTCAAATATGTTAAAAACGCAACAGGAGTAGCATGTCATTTGGATTTGAGGCTTTATGAGAATTAAAAAATGATCATTCCCAAACTGGAAACTGGACACACTAAATGCTGTTTTTCCACATTTGACCCTCATCTGATTACAACTCGATGTATGGCTATTCAGGTCGAGTTCACATGTATCGCTTAACACCTCTATGACTCCGCCCACAACCTGTATTTAACTCACCTGCTCCTCTTCCTCCACTTCCTTCTTTGCTCCAGGTCATTCCAGACTGGAAGGAGCAGGAGTGGGACACAGAAAAGCCTGACTCATACGCGGGGATTTTCCACTTCCGCTTCTGGCGCTTTGGCGAGTGGGTGGATGTGGTGATTGACGACCGGCTACCGACAGTGGACAACCAGCTCGTCTACTGCCACTCCAATGATAGCAACGAGTTCTGGAGCGCCCTGGTGGAAAAGGCCTACGCCAAGTTTGTACCTGTGCCAGCAAATATCTAGTCACACATGTGGAGGAGAAGCTCAAATCTGACCAAGCTGTGCGATTTCATGTTTTGTCTTTGTTTCTCCGCAGGGTTTACGGCTGCTACGAGGCTCTGGATGGGGGAAACACAGCTGACGCGCTGGTGGATTTCACGGGTGGAGTTTCTGAGCCTGTGGACCTGCTGGAGGGTCAGATGGCTACAGATGAGGCGGCTCGCAGTCAGCTGTTTGAGAGAGTTCTCAAGGTCCACAACAGAGACGGCCTCATCAGCTGCTCCATCAGGGTGAGCTAGGAGCACCATGCCTCATGTTGAGAAGTCTTCTGAATCCCCATGCCACACAGGAACAGAACTGGAGCAAACTAAACATTTTATTAAAAACACAAAAGTAATTAATTTTGGAGAGAATAACAAGGTAATGAAGAGAAAATAAATAAAGATGTAGTGGACAAAATAAGCACAAATGTAAATTTGAAAGTGTTTCTTCGTTAAAGTGGAGATTTATGACTGATTGTATTACCTTTTAGAGTTTTATTTATGTTTTAAACATTAAAATCCTTTTAAATGAAATGTTCACGTATTATTTATTTGAGAGGTTGACTTCAGCATTTGTGAAAGTTAATTTATTTTTTAAAATCATTTTCAGACTTACTCCAGATGCTGTGATGTTGTGTAATTTTTAAACTTGAGGTAAATAATGCCAAATTGTCTTAAAGGTACTTATGTATGTTTAGCATTGCTCATGCGTATCACAGAAGGATCATGGGTATTTAGTCAACGGTTTGTTTTCTAGGCAACCACGGTGGAGGACATGGAGGCCCGGCTGGACTGCGGTCTGGTCAAAGGTCATGCCTACGCCGTGACGGATGTCCGAAAGGTCCGGCTGGGTCACGGACTGCTGGCCTTCTTCAAGTCGGAGAAGCTGCACATGATCCGCATGAGGAACCCGTGGGGGGAGAAGGAGTGGAGCGGTCCTTGGAGTGACAGGTAAAAGCATCGCTGCCACCTGCTGGCCGGGATGAGCCACTGCAACTTGTTTGGAAGGTTGTGAACTTTCACTCTATCCATCATTTCTGATGTAATCTGATTGTCTCTGACTCACAGGAGCACGAAAAGCATTTCTCTAATTTCATTTAAAAATGTCAAAGTCAACTTTTCCTCTGTGTCCTAGTCATGTACCTGGGCAGAGGTGAGTCACACCATCTCCTCTCATCAGCCTTGAGCTCACCCTCTGCCCAGCGCTCCCCTCGGCTCCCCCTCCTCTCTCGTTCATCACAAACGCTACACGGACTAGAGCTGCACCGCTCACTCTCGCAGGACTTCCCTGTGCTGTTTCAGTTCCCGTTTGCAATAAAGAACTTTATTTTTTCTGATCTGCCAACGAGTAATGATTCTGCATGTCTTGGGTTAGGCACTTACCTCGAGTCATGACAGAATCATCCAGCCAACAATCTACCCCAGCGGAATCTGCGCTCGCCGATCTGGCTACCCGGATGTCACAGCAGGAGCAGACGCTTCCTGTCCTTATGGAGCAGCTAAACATCGCCAGCCAGCGTTACCAACGTTTGGAGACCGCCCTCCAGCAGTTTCTGGAGCGACTCTCCGTTCCTGCTTCTACTGCAGCCCTCGCTCCAGCCACAACCGCCGCTCCGGCGTCCGGAACGGAACCAACTGCTCACGCCTCAGGAGGAATGGTTCCACCCGGACCGGAAGTGCCTGGATATCCGGAAGTCACCCACTTCCGTTCGGCTCCACCTCGGCAATGTCCGACCTTCTCTGGTGAGTTCGAGGACTGCTTTGGTTTTCTGCTTCAGTGCCGCCTAGCGTTTGAGGACTCTCCAAGATCTTTTCCAACAGACTCTATGAAAATTTCTTTTATTGTGGGACTACTGAGAGGCAAGGCACTTAGGTGGGCGGAGGCCAAGAGCAGAAATCCTAGCTTCCTGTCTGGTTCGTACTCTGATTTCTTGGAGGATTCTAAATTGACTTTTTGTAGCTCTGAAACCACCACTGTCATCAGGAAGAGACTGTTGCACCTCTCGCAGGGACGGAGGTCTGTGGCAGACATGTCTCTGGAATTAGGACCCTGGCTGCGATGACGTCATGGGGGGATGATGCACTTATGGCGGCTTTCATTGAGGCTTTGAATGACCGGGTAAAGAACCAGCTGGCTCTGTGCTCCGAGCCACCCACTTTGGATGGGTTGGTTTCGTTGTGCATATCTATTGACAAGAGACATCGGGAGCTACAGAAGTCATCAGCAAGGGATCTGTCACCACCGCCGGTTCATCCCATAGGTCTCCTCCTCCGGACTCACCTGAGTAACCTATGCAGGTGGGAAGAGCTCACCTGACACCTGAGGAACGCAAACACCGCTACAGTAAGGGCCTGTGTTCATACTGTGGTCAGCCAGGATACATGGTACAGACCTGCCCAGCGGCGTTAAAAGGACGTGCCCACCAGTAGGTCCGGGAGTTCTGGTGGGCAGCCACGAAACCTCCCGTTTTATCATTGACTGTGTTGTGACTTTTAATAGCCGTCGCCACCAGACGACTGCTTTAGTGGACTCTGGAAGTGAACAGTCGCTGGTGGATCCTCAACTAGTGCGTGATTGGGGACTAACAACTGAACTGCTTCCGGAGCCATTATCTGTTTCCTCTCTGGATCACACACCGGACCCTACCACTCCAGCTCCAGGTCTCAGGTAATCACACGGAGACGATCTCACTATTTGTGTTTCCCTCCCTGCAGAACCAAGTAGTGCTGGGTCATTCTTGGCTTAGGGTACACAACCCGCAGTTGGACTGGAGAGCCAACCGTGTCGAGACCTGGAGTCCGGAGTGCTTTCTTACCTGTTTAACCTCTGCCTCGTCTGGACCTAAGGACACTGTAAAGACTCTAATGGAGCCGGCCGACCTCACCCAGGTACCCCGTGAATACCACGACTTACAGCAGGTGTTCAGCAGAGACCAAGCAGCCACGTTACCGCCTCACCGCCCTTTCGATATTGGCATTGACCTGCTGCCGGGGGCTCCACTCCCAACCAGCCGCCTCTACAGCCTTCCAAGCCTGAACAGGACTGTATGAGAACCTACATCACCAAGGCCCTTACCAATGGCATAATCAGACCATCCACCTCGCCCCTGGGAGCCGGTTTTTTCTTTGTAGCAAAGAAGGACGGGTTGCTTCGCCGTTGTATTGATTACCGGGGCTTAAACCAGATCACCGTCAAGGATAAGTACCTGCTTCCTCTGCTCTCGTCCACCTTCGAGCCGGTTCAAGATGCCACCATTTTTTACTCGGTTGGACCTTCGCAATGCTTATCACCTGGTCAGAGTCCGCCAAGGTGACGAATGGAAGACTGCTTTTAAGACACCCCTGGGGCACTTTGAATATTTAGTGATGCCTTCTGGGCTCACGAATGCTCCAGCGGTGTTTCAAAGACTTGTAAACTCTGTGCTGGGGGACTACATTAATGACTTTGTGACTGTCTATCTCGATGATATTTTGATTTTCTCTAGGTCCATTGCACAGCACCAGAAACATGTTCGAGCCGTACTCCCAATGGCTGTTGGAGAACAGACTATTTGTTAAGGCCGAATAATGTGAATTTCATGTGTCTGTGGTTAAGTTTTTGGGCTTTGTTTCAGAAAGCGGACGACTGAGGGCGGACCCAGACAAGGTTCAGGCGGTGACGGAGTGGCCTACCCCTGCAACCAGGAAGCAGCTGCAGCAGTTCTTGGGCTTTGCAAACTTTTACAGAAGATTTATCCGTAATTACAGTCAGACTGCAGCTCCTCTAGCAGCCCTTACCTCTGTAGCTAAGCCGTTTTCTTGGTCCCCAGAAGCCGAAGCCACATTCAAGACACTTAAGAGGAAGTTCACAGAGGCTCCGGTCCTTTCCAGACCAGACCCCAAACAGCAGTTCACGGTGGAGGTGGACGCCTCTGACACCGGGGTTGGAGCAGTCCTCTCCCAGGTATCCCCGGTCGACCACAAGCTCCATCCCTGCGCCTTCTTTTCACGGCGCTTGACGCCCACCGAGAGCAGGTATGACGTGGGGGATAGGGAGTTACTGGCTGTGAAACTGGCTCTGGAGGAGTGGAGGCATTGGCTGGAGGGGGCTGAACTACCGTTCATTATTTGGATGGATCATAAGAACTTAATCTACCTCAAAGAGGCAAAGAGACGGAACCCCCGACAATACAGGTGGTCCCTGTTCTTCTCCCGTTTGAACTTTGTTTTGTCCTATAGACCGGGGTCTAAGAACACGAAGCCTGACGCTCTGTCTCGTCAGTTCGCCACTGAGGACAAAATGACTCCTAGCACCATCTTGCCTGCCTCCTGCATTGTGGCTGGAGTGACCTGGCCTATAAGAGACCAGGTTCTGGAGGCCCTGAAGGTGAACCCGGCCCAGGTAACAGATCCTCCAATAGATTGTTTGTTCCCCAGGAACTACGAGGAAAGGTGATTCACTGGGCACACACCGGGAGGTTTTCGATCCATCCTGGAGTGGGACGAACATTGGCCCTGATTAGGCGCTCTTTCTGGTGGTCCTCCCTCTACAAAGATGTGAAGGAGTGTGTGTCGGCCTGCCACGTATGTGCCCAGCAAAAGGGTACCAATCAGCCTCCTGCAGGTCTACTCAGTCCTCTACCTGTGCCGTCCCGTCCATGGTCCCATATTGCCTTCGACTTTGTTTGTGGGTCACCACTCTCACATGGTTTTAGTGTTATTTTAACCATAGTGGACAGGTTTACCAAGGCCTGTCATCTGGTGCCGTTAAAGGCCCTTCCTCCTTCCGCCGTCACAGCCCAGCTCCTAATAAAGCATGTTTTTCGTCTTCATGGGATTCCAACCGAGATCCTCTCTGATTGTGGCCCCCAGTTTGTGTCTCGAATCTGGAAGGAGTTTGCCACCGCTCTGGGGGCCCGGGTGGCTCTAACCTCAGGATTTCACCCACAGACTAACGGCCAATGTGAGCGGATGAATCAGGAGCTGGGTGCCATGCTCCGCTGCGTCTGTGCCACCAACCCATCAAACTGGAGTGACCAAGTGACCACCTGGCTTGGGTTGAGTCCAGTCCTCTGTGCCCGGTTTCTGCTCCGCCTCCCCCTGCTCAGCTCTACAAAGGGGGGCTGGTCTACAAGGTTCGGCGCATCCTCGACTCACGCCCCCGTGGTCGAGGCCTTCAGTATTTGGTAGACTGGGTGGGTTACGGCCCGGAGGAACGCTCCTGAATTCCCCAGTCCTACATCGAGGATCCCTCTCTCATCACGGACTTCGAGGCCTCCAGGACCGGTGTTGGGACGCCAGGGGGCGTCTGTTGGGGGCTCTGTCATGTACCTGGGCAGAGGTGAGTCACACCATCTCCTCTCATCAGCCTTGAGTTAATTCTCCACAGGTGAGGAGCAGAGGGAGCGGCAGCTGCAGGAGATTTCCAAATCAGGGACGCGGGTTCAAAAGGAGGATGGAGACACCTAAATGTGCCGGATGATTGTACCAGTCTAGGCAGTCCCAGCCACTTGATCGTGTTTGTTCATGTTAGACTCATTTCTTGCCTCTTGGATTTATGACCTCGGATTGTTTTTTTGGACTACGTTTTTGGATTACCCCTTACATCTGGCGTTTGTTTCCCTTCCCCTCAGGATCATCACATCACCAGCTCCAACCTTGCTGTCTACGAAGCCTGGATCTCATACACCACGTCCCCATCCTCCTCCGTTGTTCCTGTTTGGATTCCCTCTGCTACCCCCCAACCCCCCCCCCCCCCCCAAACCCCCCCCCCCCCGAAGCGCTCACCCTCTGCCCAGCGCTCACCTCGGCTTCCCCTCCTCTCTCGTTCATCACAAACGCTACACGGACTAGAGCTGCACCGCTCACTATCGCAGGACTTCCCTGTGCTGTTTCAGTTCCCGTTTGCAATAAAGAACTTTATTTTTTCTAATCTGCCAACGAGTAATGATTCTGCATTTCTTGGGTTAGGCACTTACCTCGAGTCATGACAGTCCTGTGGAGTTTGACACACTAATTTCCAAGAGACTACATTTGATGAATGAGCGAAACGTCAAACAACGGGACAGAGATCAGCCCAAGACAAGACATGTAGACAATGAAAAATGATCAGGCTAATGGCCCTCAGAGTGAACAAACGGGACTGTTGGAAGGTTATTTGCTTGTTTCTGGTTCCCTCCTGCATTTCTAATACTTCCTGTCTCACAGGAATAGAAAACGGATATAAAGGTCTTGGTTCCACGTCTCAGAAACCAACCGGGAGGTGGGAATGTTGGATTATAAAGGAGTCTGAATTATTGATGAAACCTGTTGCTCTAAGTGGAGAGTGGCAGACTGTTGAGATGTGGACCATGTTGGTGAATCATAAACACAGAGACACAGGGACCGATTATTAGTCCATCCTGTAAACATGCACCTTGATGTTTGGGTGTGATTTATAAGCATCACACCTTCCCTCGCTCTCCCCCCTCAGTTACATCTTACCAAGTGAGGAGAGAACTAAGGCAGCTTAAGAGCAGGAAAGCTGCAGGACCTGACGGGATCAGCCCTAGACTGCGAAAAGTCTGTGCTGACCAGCTTTGTGAAGTGGTCACTCACATATTCAACCTGAGCCTTCATTTCTAGCAGGTCCCCTTCCTGTCCAAGACCTCCTGTGTGGTTCAAGTTCCCAAGACATCACATACCAGGGAACAAGACCACTACAGACCTGTCGCCTTGACGTCCCACCTGATGAAGACCATGGAGAGACACATCCTCACCCATCTATGCTCCATGGTGAGCCCAGAAATGGATCCACTGCAGTTTGCATACAAACAAAACATTGGCATGGAGGACGCTCTCATCTACCTGCAGCACTTGGCGCTGATTCACCTCGAATCACTTCAGCACTGTGAGAGTCAATATTCTTCGACTTCTGAAGTACCTTCAACACCATCCAGCCGTGTTTACTACAGCAGAAGATGAGGGGTGCAGAAGTGGACGAACATCTGACTGTATGGACCATCAGCTATCTCACCAACAGGCCACAGTACATGAAGTAGATGTGTGCAGTACTGGAGCTCCACAGAGCACAGTGCTTTCACCCTTTCTTTTCACCTTTTACACCTTGGACCTACACCTACTGCTGGGGGCAGCAGCAGCTCAGGACGTTGAGTGGGTTGTTCAATATTTGGAAGGTAGCAGGTTCAATCCTGGCTCCGGACAGAAAATTCTGCTGCATAACACTTAACCCACCTTGCCTGCTGGTGGTGGTCGGAGGGACCACCGGTGCCTGTGCTCGGCAGCCTCGCCTCTGTCAGTATGCCCCAGGGCAGCTGTGGCTGCATTGTAACTCATCACCACCAGCATGTGAATGTGTGTGTGAATGGGTGAATGATACTCTGTAGTGTAAGGCGCTTTGGACTCCTCTGACACTGAAAGGTGCTATACAAGTGCAGGTCATTCATCATTTACAACACCAGCAGCTGTCACCTCCAGAAGTCCTCTGATGACTCGGCCATTGTCGTAAGTGTGTCTGCGGGGAATGGCCTGGAGTTCAGGCCAGTCATCATGGACTGGTGTGAGCATAACCACCTTTGCTTAAACACCAGTAAGACAAAGGAAATGGTGACTGACTTCCCGAGAAACACTCCTCACTCACCAGTAAACATCCAGGATGCAGACACTGAGATCATGGGTACCTTTAACCCTCCCACTGTCTTTATGGGTGACCTGGTGAGGAAAGTGTACCATTGAGCAGGATTGATGGTTTATTCCTTGAGGTCCACATGGCAGGGTGAGGTGGTGCTCACTCCTCACCCCTGCCACATGGACCCAAGGGATAAACCATCAACCCTGCTCAATGGTACACTTTCCTCACCAGGTCACCCATAAAGACAGTGGGAGGGTTAAGTACCTGGGTGTTGACCTCAACAGTAAACTGAACTGGTCCAGCAACACAGATGCTCTTATGAGAAGGGCCAAAGCAGCCTCCACTTCCTGAGGAGGCTGAGGTTCTTCAGAGTTAATTCCAATCTGCTGAACTCTTTTTATTCCTCCGTTGTTGGTTCTGTTTATTCACTCTGCTGTGGTCTGTTGGGGTGCAGGCAGCTCTGACTGAGATAGGATGAGACTGAATACATTAGTTAGGAAAGCTAGCTCTGTTCTGGGCTGCCCTCTGGACTTATTTGAGGAGACGTGTGAAAGGAGGATGCTGGGGGAAATGACCTCCATCTTGGAAAACCCCTCACCACCACTGCATTCCACTGTGGAGACCATGGGCAGCTCCTTCAGAGGCAGACGGAGATATCCCAGATGTATAACAGAACACTTCCGTAGGTCATTCATCCCCTCTGCGGTAAAAGTGTAGAACTCCTCAGTTGAACTGGTACTGGCATTATTCCTAACATCATTGCTATATTCAGTACATGTGCAACACCCAGATGTCTGTGTCCTTTATGCTGTTTCTTCTTGGAAACTCAGCTTTCTACTTTATTCGTTTTTTTATTGCTGAATTTTACAATAATAGCCTACTGCCTTTGTGTATTTACCTGTATTATTTTTTCCAATTCTCCAAGTGTAAATGCTGCCTTAACGAGTGAATGTTCCCACTGTGGGATCAATAAAGTCTATTCTATTCTATTTTGTTCTGAAGTTAGTCATAATCTAGTGATTAAATATACTAAAACTGTTTTATAACTACAACAGATGGATTAAATTAATGTTAGGTTTTAAAAACAGATGATTATTTAACAATAAACTCTTTGTGCAGCTCAGAGGAGTGGAACAAGGTGAGCAAGAGTGAAAGAGAGAAGTTGGGCGTCACCGTGCAGGATGATGGCGAGTTCTGGTGAGAACCACAAATGTTTTGCTTTAATCCTGTTAATAAAGTCATAATTAAATAAATGTTTCTTATTAATATGATTATCTGTGCCATGCTTCTGTAACTCCAGGGTGATGATGCGGCTGGAATAGTTGTGCCTGTTTTTGTTACTACAGATGTTTAGATCTGGTTCCCTTTCTTTTGTTTATTTGCTAAAAAGTGATGAAGACGAGTAATTAACCAAACGTCTTCATTACGTTAGACAGTCTGTAGGATTATGGGCTCAAGGACTAAACAGTTTCTGGTAGTAAAAGAATTCTTGCATATGTAATGATGGCATCTTCTGCTTCACCATGCATCCATTTTCTGTCAGATTTCCATTGATTTTGAGAGAAGCCTCTGGTCTGTTTTGACCGCAGAGGCGGAGCTGGCCTAAATGGCGCCCTGTGCGAGATCCCCCAGTGATGCCCCCCCCCCCCCCCCCCACACACACACACACAAGAAAAAACATTACAACTACAACTTTGTTTCAAATTGTGTGGAGTGTATATATAACAATGTTTGCTAACTGAATACAACATCCAGCTCCTGGCCACCTTCTCACCACTTGTCAAAGTTCTACTGAAATAGACACACTTAACGCAACATGATGGCATCATCGACTTGTACAGTACAGATGTGCTGAAAGGTGAGAGTCTCAACTTTCAGCTAAAAAAAGACCGCTCTAGCTATTATAGTTTTTATTTTATGGTAGTTTACAGTTTAAACGGGATCTTACTAGCAGGGCACCTCCAGCGGCCCGCTGCCGCTCCGTTTTTCATGGGGTAAATAATAGCTCATTTCCCGATTCCAAAAAGAAAGAATGGTCCTACCAGCTCGCCACTTCAGTATGAAGAAGATCAGTTCAACATGGGGAAAAAACCTGACCTGTAGGCCAGAGAAACGTTCATTAGCACATCAAGTTCTATTCAGTTTACCGGTAAACATATCACGAATGTACAACAGGTCAATTATTAATCATCTTGGCTACGTAGCTCAATCTATACATTCCAGTAGCGTTTGCTACAAACAAATACAAAAACAACAATAAAGCTGCCCTGTTCGGCCGCACATGTTGCACATATCAAGCTCCGCCCCTGTCTGACCGAAATTAGAATTTTGATTTTGACAGAAAATCTTGACAATGGAACAGTAAAAAAAATAAAAATAAAAAAGAACTACCCGAGGACAAGATGTGATCAAAGCCTCACGATAGATACATGCATGGCAGAAAGTGTGAGACTAGAAGGTGAGTGACCTAAAGCTAAAGCGAAGAATAAAATCTGCAGCTTCTCAAACTTTGATTTTGGTGTGAAGGAAAAAAAAAAAACGGCACGATGACATCCATTCAGTCAGAAATAAATCACATTCGCAGCTCTCCCCTTCAACATAATAACGAAATTTGTCCATCATGTCTAGGGCTGCACATTTACAGAAATCAGCTGATTTACCTTTAAATATCAGTTTACCCAGTACCAAAGAAGTATTTTACAATATCCAGTTTCACTGGAAACTGCATGTTTACATCTAAAGTTTAAACAGACACAAACAACAAAGCAGATTAAATTGCATTATTGTTTGACTTTGTATATACTAAATTGTTTTATGTTGGCTTGTACCAGTTTAAACCGGTTCTTTTACACATTAACTGGCAGGTCTGCTCAGCAGACTGTGTTTTAGTCTTATTCTAATGAAACAACCACTAAACTTGTGGAAAACACACTGAACTGAAACAATTCCCAAAAACATGGTGATGTTAGAATGACAAGTTAAACCTTACCTTAATGTTATTTTAACAGTATTTACTGTACATAAACAGTCAATCGTGGGATTTTAGAAAAATGCAATAGAAAAGGAAAAGTTGTTCATAGCATTTCTTGGTGTGGATTTTAACAGGTTAATAAATGTAGAAGAGTAAATGTTGTGCTTTAAAGCTTAATATATTACCTTTACTTATGACCAATAAGCTGTGATATTCTATATAAATATAGAATATCAACCTGCTTGGTCTTTGGATGTTTAATCAGAAGATTCTAGGATTCTTCGCTTTTTCCAGGGATCAAATACACACTTCATTCAGACAGAGTCAGGTTTATAAAAGATAAGAAATGTATTTTCTAAACAAATTAAAACAAGACAAGTTAACCAAGGCTACTGTGATGGATGAATCTAAGAGGATGGGATGTGATGTGTGGTGACTATGTGTGAATGTGAGGTTATCAGAACCTTCGTTTCTAGAAGAACTGAGTTTTGGGTGAAAGGAATTTGGTTTGCATTAAGCTATGAAGTTGGTTCTTATCAAAACCGGCATCAGACACAATCTGTGTGTCTACCTCACCCTTTTTTTGGATACCCTCTTCGCAGATCAGGAGGTCAGGGAGGTTGGATGACCGCAGGGCACCGAGGTTTGGTAGATTAACCGCAGCACCGATCCTCCAGTCCAGAGATGTTTCCGAGTCACAACAGATAGATTAAATCGTTTGCGTCTAGAACAGCTGTTTCTGATTAGCTGAAAGAACCGTTTTGCTGAGTCAGCGGTAGGCAGCTTTTAGCAGGGTTTTTGACAGCTTGTCAAACATGCTCTGGGTTAAAGATGGTTCGCTCCGGATGGCCTGTCCGTAGCTTCCTCTAAAACTGACTCACCGTATAGTGAGCTCTTTTTTAATATTCTCATATTATGATTTCTTGGCCAACCGGGACGTGCCATATTAAGAGGTGTTCACAAGCAGACCTCAGAACGTCACACCTCGTTAGGATACAGGATGTTCTGATTCGTAGCTAAGAAAATATCTATGTGTCATGACATTTAACTTAACTTTAATTTATCTCTAATGAACCTCATGTCTGAGTGTGGATAATGATTCACTTGTTAAATCTAAAATTACTGATCATAATATCAAAATGTTTCGTTTCAACCACAGTAATTTAAGCACAGATTAATCAAAACATTTCATTAGTATCCATATAATATGGTTCATCCATTTCACGATTGATTATGTTTATTTATTTATGTTTATTCATTTAGCAGACGCTTTTATCCAAAGCAACTTACAGTTTATAACCTGTAGGGCGTGTTGTGATCTGTGGGGGAAACCGGAGTACCCGGAGGAAACCCACGCATGCATGGGGAGAACACGCAACTCCACGCAGAAAGGCCGCAGCCGAGTTTCAAACCTGCAACCTTCGTGCTGCGAGGCAACAGTGCTAACCACTGCACCACCATGCAGCCCATGATTAGCTCGTATGAGCTGAAAATAGTCACTTTATTCAGAGAGTGAGCAATCCTGCGGTGTTATCAGAAGAAGGCCTAGTTTGGGAACACAGGCTGACATCGTGTTCCTCCTGAAATGTCAACACGGTTCTGCAAAGCTTGTTGCTTGTTGGAAGGTAGAATCCACCTGAGAATGGAATTCATGTCATGTAGGTCGGTTTTTAGGTGAAAACTGACCATTGCTGGACGTTACATAAATGATTTAAAGCACGTTTTAAGGGAAATGTTCAATCTGAGTTCATGTGATGACCGTAGGTTCTTGTTGAAAAGTTTGCTTTGGTTCTGGCCTCATTTTCTCTTATTTCGTGCTTGTTCGGGATCTTCTTCCTCTCCTCTAGTTACTATCCACTCTCTCCTGTCTTCCCTTTCCTCCTTGCCTGTCCTTCTGCAGGATGACGTTTGATGATTTCTGTCAGTACTTCACTGACCTCATTCTTTGCCGCCTCATCAACACCTCCTACTTGAGCATCCACAAGACCTGGGAGGAGGAGGTGATGAGGGGCTCCTGGGTCCACCGTCAGGATCCCCTTCGTAACCGATCAGGAGGCTGCATCAATCACAAAACTACCTTCCTGCAGAACCCACAGGTTGGTCCATTTGGTGCTGTTGTTATCAGGAGGTCCTACTGCTGAGGTCAAAGATGGTGTTGTGTTTCTTTCTCCAGTATGTGTTTGATGTGAAGAAGTTGGAAGACGAGGTGCTGATCTGCTTACAACAAAAAGAGAAGCGAGCTACGCCCCAGGAAGGCAAAGGGGAAAATCTCGCTATAGGCTTTGACATTCACCAGGTAAAAACATGCATGCCAGAGAATAAATACAAACAAAGCTAGAAACGCCACGTTCACATCTCTACAATTTGTCATTCTGCAGGTTGAGCTGAATCGGAAGTACCGTATGCACACAGCCCAGCAGAAAGTAGCAGGTTCCATTTACATCAACTCGCGTTGTGTCTTCCTCAGGAAGGAGTTGAAGGAAGGCCGTTATGTGATCATACCCACAACCTTTGACCCTGGGCAGCAGGGTGAATTTCTGCTCCGTGTCTTCACTGATGTGCCTTCAGACTGCAAGTAAATATGAGAATCTCTGCTGAAAACAAAGTTTATCCCAGCCACGTCCAAAGTGCGGCCCGGGAGTCGTGTGTGTGGCCCTTGGGGCAAGCCTCGGCTGTCCCAACTTGCATCTCTAGAGCTCTAGACTAGTTTTTCTAGTTGGTTGTTGATGTAGATCACAACTTTCTATCATTTCAGTTCACATTTTTACTAATATTCCTATTTTTTAACCTATTTTGAGCTATTTAAACAAAAAAAATACACCCAAAATGTTTTTTTAAGTTTGGACATTTAAAGCAAGGTAGGCAAGCCCTTCCCCAAGGGCCAGTGTCCAGCGTGTTTTAGCTGTTTCCCTGCTCCAACACACTTGATTCTGTGGTTGAATCACCTGTTCAGTGCCTCATGAAGCTTTTCAGAAGGCTGTCAGTCACCTGCTCGTTGAAATCAAGTGTGTTGAAGCAGGGAAGCTGCTAAAACACGCTGGACACCGGCCCTTGGGGAAGGGAGTGGTCTACCCCCTCTTTAAAGTCTCAGCTCCACCACTGCTGAGCTTCATTAACCTTCAATACACGAAAAACATAAAGTCCTGTAGAACATAACTCTTACATGGCTTCAGAAGTGGCCTGTTACACATTTAATGACTCGTTTAAAAATGGAGGTTGGTGGTCAGACTTGTCGGCTGCATCTTTGCAAACGGCTGCTAAACAGTTAGAGGATGTATCGCCAGCACAAAACAGCTGAGCCTAACATCCTCCCTCAGTTTCCTCACTCATGAAGTGTTGTTTCCCACAATTTACACCAATAAAACTACAAGGAATGATGGGAAATTGAGTCTCATCACTCTAGCTCTACAAATTGGGCCCTGTTTGGACAAATAAAATTCAAAGGTTTATAAAATAACATCTTTTTTCTTTTTTCACAGAGAGTTGACTCTGGATGAGCCTCCTCAGACATGTTGGACGGGGATGTGTGGCTACCCTCAGCTGGTCACTCAGGTCCATGTACTGAATGCTGAGGGACTTCAGGGACAGGACACCAATGGAGGTAAGGTTTTTCCACTCACTGACTATCTGAACCGTATAAGAAAGAAATTTCAGATTAGTGTGCTTAGCTGTAACTTTCGTCTGTCCCAGCTGTAGATTCCTACGTGATAATTTCTTGTGAAGGGGAGCGGGTACGTTCACCTGTTCAAAAGGACACACGTTGCCCAAACTTTGACATCAAAGGCCTGTTTTATCGCAAAAAGCCCAAGGAAGCCATCCACATCGAGGTGAGTGGTCAACCTGCCACCATGTGTTTTGTCTAGATGGTTTTGTTATTTTTTTCCATCATAACAACATAAATATTTAATTAGATAACAAATGAATCCCAAACAAAGTATTTTGCACCGGTTCATGTGCTCTTTGCACTCTCTGTCCACAAGAGTGTTTCTCACCTTCCTTTTCAGTCAGCTTTTCTTCTTCTTCCTCTGAGTTTAGGTACTGGGAGAATATTGCTGCTCAGAAAATTTGTAGAAAATCAAAAACCATTCATCAGAAGTCATTTACAGCCGTTTGGCACTATAAGTGGAGGGATTTTTCTGTGGTAATTTCATTTTACAAGTAAAAAAACATGAGTTGGTGGTAGGAAGGAACAGTTTATGTCCTTAGTGTAAGATTTAAAAATGCAGCTTAAAGATAATCTATCATACACTAAAACTCTCAATTTTCTTATGTTTAAGGACATAAATGCTTTTGTTTTCTCTAAAATGTTCTTAAAGGTTTGTCCTCTGAGAAACCACGTAACACTTGTTCTTTTTCAGAATGTTAACGTAACACGAATGTGAAAATATTCGTCATCCCCACCATCTGCATTAGCTGCAGAAGGGAAACAGATGGGAAAACGATCAGATCAGACAAAGCCAGTCTCTCCTACGTCACAGGGAAAATGACTAGCTTGGTGGCCTAGTGGTAGAGTGTCCGCCCTGGGACTGGGAGATCAGTTTTCAAATCCCGGTCGGGTCATACCAAAGGCTTTATAAAAATGGGACCCAATGCCTCCCTGCTTGACACTCAGCTGTAAGGGTTCAGATTGGGGGGTTAAACCACCAAATAGTTCCTGAGCGCGGCCGTGTCTGCAGCTCACCACTCCCCATGGGGATGGGTCAAATGCGGAGGACAGTTTTCACCACACACCAGTGTGTGTGTGTGACAACTATAGTGGGGCAAAAAAGTATTTAGTCAGCCACCGATTGTGCAAGTTCTCCCACTTAAAATGATGACAGAGGTCAGTAATTTACATCATAGGTACACTTCAACTGTGAGAGACAGAATGTGAAAAAAATCCATGAATTCACATGTTAGGATTTTTAAAGAATTTATTTGTAAATCAGGGTGGAAAATAAGTATTTGGTCAATAACAAAAATTCAACTCAGTACTTTGTAACATAACCTTTGTTGGCAATAACAGAGGTCAAACGATTACTATAGGTCTTTACCAGGTTTGTACACACAGTAGCTGGTATTTTGGCCCATTCCTCCATGCAGATCTTCTCGAGAGCAGTGATGTTTTGGGGCCGTCGCCGAGCAACACGGACTTTCAACTCCCTCCACAGATTTTCTATGGGGTTGAGGTCTGGAGACTGGCTAGGCCACTCCAGGACTTTCAAATGCTTCTTACGGAGCCACTCCTTTGTTGCCCGGGCGGTGTGTTTGGGATCATTGCCGTGTTGGAAGACCCAGCCACGTTTCATCTTCAAAGCTCTCACTGATGGAAGGAGGTTTTGGCTCAGAATCTCACGATACATGGCCCCATTCATTCTGTCCTTAACACGGATCAGTCGTCCTGTCCCCTTAGCAGGAAAACAGCCCCAAAGCATGATGTTCCCACCCCCATGCTTCACAGTAGGTATGGTGTTCTTGGGATGCAACTCAGTATTCTTCTTCCTCCAAACACGACGAGTTGAGTTTATACCAAAAAGTTCTACTTTGGTTTCATTTGACCACATGACATTCTCCCAATCCTCTGCTGTATCATCCATGTGCTCTCTGGCAAACTTCAGACGGGCCTGGACATGCACTGGCTTCAGCAGCGGAACACGTCTGGCACTGCAGGATTTGATTCCCTGCCGTTGTAGTGTGTTACTGATGGTGACCTTTGTTACTGTGGTCCCAGCTCTCTGCAGGTCATTCACCAGGTCCCCCGTGTGGTTCTGGGACTCTTGCTCACCGTTCTCATGATCATTTTGACCCCACGGAATGAGATCTTGCATGGAGCCCCAGATCGAGGGAGATTATCAGTGGTCTTGTATGTCTTCCATTTTCTGATAATTGCCCCCACAGTTGATTTTTTCACACCAAGCTGCTTGCCTATTGTAGATTCACTCTTCCCAGTCTGGTGCAGGTCTACAATTCTTTTCCTGGTGTCCTTCGAAAGCTCTTTGGTCTTGGCCATAGTGGAGTTTGGAGTCTGACTGTTTGAGGCTGTGGACAGGTGTCTTTTATACAGATAATGAGTTCAAACAGGTGCCATTAATACAGGTAACGAGTGGAGGACAGAAAAGCTTCTTAAAGAAGATGTTACAGGTCTGTGAGAGCCAGAGATTTTCCTTGTTTGAAGTGACCAAATACTTATTTTCCACCCTGATTTACAAATAAATTCTTTACAAATCCTGCCATGTGAATTCATGGATTTTTTTTCACATTCTGTCTCTCACAGTTGAAGTGTACCTATGATGAAAATTACTGACCTCTGTCATCATTTTAAGTGGGAGAACTTGCACAATCGGTGGCTGACTAAATACTTTTTTGCCCCACTGTATGACTTTAATCTTTTTAATCTTTAAAATTAGTGTTCATGGCCCAGCCCACCTTAAGTTGTGGAAGGCTGTATTAGGTTTGCAGTGAGGAGAGAGTAGAGCGCATCTTGGCTAGTAGAAGGTAACCATTAGCATTAGCAACCCGAAATCATGGCAGAACACATTCAGACTTGTGTTATTTGAGGAAATAAAACATCAGCGTTGGTTTTTATGACCAAAGAAAAAAAGCAAACAAAGGCAGTGGAAGAGTGGTGTTGCTGTTGGCCAGTCAGAGGAGAGGCATTTGAAAACCATGAATATTAATGAGTGAGACTCCAGATCCTGTTGTTTTATATCCCCACTTCTCCAACTAACCTTTACCTCCTGAAACAGGAGCACCAGAGCTTTGCTCCAAAGAACAGCAAATATACTGATTAAACAAGTGCTCATGCACCAAAATAATCCTTTTTTAATGTTAACTGACTTAGAAATGTCTTCACATCAAAACTTCTTCACTGCTCCTTCATTTCTGTTCCTGCAGTTCTTTTTGTTTTTCATGTTTCTTCTTGTGCTTATCTCCTTTTATCTTTTCTCTCTTCCTCATTCCTGCTCTCCACCTTTGCTGTCGGTTTCTCGTGAGCGGCACACAGATCTACAGCAAGAACATGATTGTGGACACCTTCCTGGGTCAGGTGGTCCTGTACAGCGAGCCCAACGAGCGGCAGGAGCAGCACACGCTTCACCTCCGCGACAAGGGCAGCCGCCAGGACAATGACCTCCCGGGCATGCTCACTGTGCGCTTCCTCACCTCCACCACTCTCACCAACATCTGACAAGATTGCTAACATGGTCAAAATGATCTGATCAACAATCTTTTGGAGCTCACTTTTGGGTCTTTTTTTCTGTTGCTTTATGCTTTTCTTGTTTTCTGTCACCTCGGCGTTCCTGTTCCGGCTCTTCTCATGGGGTTTTTGAAGGCCTGCATCTACAGGAAGAAAGTGTCAAAGAAGTTTCTATAGATTATCTTTGAACTCATTCCTGCCTAAATTGACTGTTGCTGTCTGTGTTCGAAATGTGTCCTAGAAGCAAACGTCGTCGCTTGTTATGTTGACAGAATCAACAGTAACTGGTCTCTAATTTTAAGGCAGTTACAGTTTAATCCTATCAGTTGTTGTTCTGATCCTGTTGAAGTTCAGTTTAGTCTTTCCTCGTTTTCCTTTCAGTTCCGATGCATACTCGTATATGTAGACATGCATATATAACACATATGCACACATTTCTGCACTCTCCATGCATGTGCCAACCTTTCCAAGGGCTATGCATTGCCTTAAGGCTGAGTCAGTCTCTCCAGTTGGGGGGGGGGGGGATGGGGGGTGGGGGGGGGGGTAAAACTATCAGCTGTTCTCAGTGTTAGCACAGCCTTTACTTTTATCTCTTATCTCTGCAATATGGCCTGTTTTTTTCTCACTTCTGTCATCTTCCATCCCTCTAATGCGCACTCTCTCTCTCTCTCTCTCTGTGTGTGTGTGTGTGTGTGTGTGTGTGTGTGTGTGTGTGTGTGTGGTTAACCCGCACCAAGACAACTCCAACTCTTCATCAGTTTGCAGGTGCTTTGGAGAGCATGCAACACCGTCTTGTCACTTTTTAGTGTGAACTTTACAAAGAAAAGCTAACAGCAGCTACTTTCTCCCTACCTGGAGCTTTTCTGTGTGTGTGTGCTCATGTGTGAAGTTTCGTCTCTCGTCTTCCATCCCTTCTACCTTTGAAACTCCTTTGAGTCACTTGTCGCCGGTTGCTATGGACGATCTCTAAACTGCATGGCTGAAAAACAAACTAAATTCTCTGCCTGTGCTGCACATTTCTTCAATCGTAGCTTAGCAGCCGGCTCTTCTGACAGTGCTATCTTTCCTTTTTGGATCACCTTCCACCTCCTGTGGGGTGCAAAGATTCACTTTGACATGAATCAAGTGCTTTCTGGGACCAAAGATGAGCCAGACCCTTTGTTCTGTCGGCCCCTTTCAGAACGTTCTGGCCTGGCCCAGCCCAAGCCTGGCTACAAACCACCACCCCCTGTGCCACATCATCTCTTAATGGCAACACCACTGCCTGACGCTTCCTTTGATGAGACTCTGGCGGGTTCACCTGCACAACTCGCGCCACACGATCCCAACAAAGACGGCATCTGTGCTTCTGCTGTCGGCACAGCAGGCGTGAGTTTGAGCGTGACTGTCAGATGGTGTGAATGTCTTGCTAATTTCAGCTTAGCTTCGACTGAGATTTTGTGCGACTGTTTGTATGAATTCTTACCTGTCAACCTGTTTATCTGTAGGGAGGTGTGAACTGAACGAAGACGTTCTTTAGGGGGAAACACACCTTGCACTTTAATTAGTTTTCTGGGAGGAAAAAGATCCTCAATGACAAAGGAAAGAGGAGGTTCAGCAAAGGAGATGTCCTGCCAAACAACCTGTGCCATCCTCTTGGTCTTGGCTTTGTCT